ACATCCCGGCTCATCTATCTACGTGTTGAAAACATGTGCTAAATTCATGCATTTTTGTGAAATTTGTGTTATATACCAATCTAAAAGGATGTGCATAAGTGCGTTAGTGTGAATACAAAGGTACACAAGCCAGTATAATCAGAAATCGGCAACTCTTCGGCTGGTTTCGGTTTCAAAAAGCGTAGTAAAAGATCGGTTTGATGACAGTGTCAACCAGAGGATTCCTGCAAAACCAGGCACTGGTTTGGATCGAGCCTTGACTCTCTTCATCAAATACTATCCCAAGATATAGAAGCGATTTCAACAAATGTTGATCAAGAGATTCCTTGAAACCGAACTTTTATTCATTATTCTATAAAGGTCATCAAACTCAGGAGCCTCGAAGACCATCTTGGCAATTATTATTTTCATTAACCCAGAGCAAAATAGAAGCTGAATAGGCTCAAATGTAGGCACATATACGCATTCATTTGTATCAAAACCATTCTTGCGATGACTTTCATTTCACGTGAAAGTGCATGATAAGCAAATCCGTAGGATGATCTCACCAGAAAACGATGACGGATTCCCGTTTCGTGTTGACACGAGACATTTTCAGAGCTGAAACTCATTCATATAGGAGATTAAAATTGATACAAAGTCAAGAAGATTGTCCACTCACTCCTACATGAATTACATGCTCACAGCTTAAACGATGAAATGTATTATTGATAGATAATCATTAAAGGATTTATTAATGAAGAGAGGAAGAACACCGATTATAGTTCAAAAGCTCGATAGTACGCATTCCTAGTCATGTTTTCCAATGGCTCATTAAAACTTGACGACCCAGAACTGGTGTTAGATTCAATTGTAACTGCTCTTAGTTATGGCTAGTATTTCAGTATTTGACTTATAAGAATATAAATATTAATAGATACGCACGTACACAAAAACTCGCGCATAGTTTCTCAAGTATAAATACTCAGTCAATGGCAAAAAGAACAAACCAAATAAATATTTTTTTTTCTTATTTTCTCCTTTTGCTCTATTGAAGGCAAGTGTTAATGTATAAAAGAGAATCGAAAGCAATAACACTCAGCTTGGACGAACATCCAAATAT